CGCGAAGGGGCGGCGGCCGCGCTGGGCGACAGGTGCGCGGGGGCGTGGGCGTAGGGGCGGAGCGGGGACCGGGGAGGGCGACCCCGAGGGCCAGGGCTCGGGGTTCCGGGCTGGGGTCTCTGTGTAGCTGCGGCGCGCCCTCCTTCTGCACTCGGACCCCTCGGAAGGCAGCGGAGCGCGGGCTGCGGGGACGCGCGCCGTCCCTCCTGCACTCCGGGCGACCACAGTTTTCTCAAAGTGCTCCTCAAAAGGGTTGACGGTTGCGGTTTCAGCTCTGGGGCAACGGTTGCTACACAAAGTGAAACTTGCTGGTGCGCGGCCCGCGGGCTGCCCGGCGGACCTCAGCCCCGCCGCCCCGCCCGCGCCTCCCGCCTCCCGCCCCCCGCGGGCTGGGCGGTGACTCACGCGGCGCCGCCCGGCCGCTTCTTAAGCCCGGGCTGAGCGCCGCGCTCCGACTGCAGGTCGCCAGAGCCGTCTTGGTCCCTGCTGCGGAGCCGAGTTTCCGGGAGATCGAGGCAGCCCACCAGGAACCGAAAATGCCGAAGCCAGTAAGTAGCAGGGGCCGCGGCGCCTTGAGGGAGGCTGGGTTTCGGGGACAGTCACCTGCGCGAGGCGCGGGGCTGTGCTTGGTCCGACGCGGTCCAACTTACGTGGGTGGGGACGGCAGTCGGACGCTGACCCTTTTGTGGGATGTGAAAACCGCACCCCGTGGTGGTCTCTGCGAGCCCCTTCCCCCCGAGATTGTGGTTCGTACATGCCGGCGGATCGCGTCTGTGTTACAAAGTGTCCGCTAGTGCAACTTTAAGGTTGTTTACAGAGGTCAAATCTCAGGAAGTCTCAGGTAGCTTCCGACAGCCCACCTCCACTGTCGTCAAGTGTAGCAAGCCACATGCGACCTGCACATTTCTTGGGGGGGGGGTGAGAGGACGTGAAGGGCTTTTGGAGGGAAGACGCTTGCTCTGCGGGGCCGATCTCATTTGGGGCCCCTTTTCCGCCTGGCGCCCAGAGTGCTGGCTGCCCATTTAACCCGGGAATTTGCTGGTTACAGCAGGATTTTTATCTGAAAGGGTTAGCCGCGGACTGGAATTGCAAGATGAGGCAGCCCGGGGAGTTTGATAAGGAGACTCCTTGGGCTCTGGTCGTGCCCTGCCCGAGCAGGTCGGCTGAACACAGTGCTGCGTGCCGGCACCTCTGGCCCTGGAGTCTGTCGGCTGTCCAGCCTAGGGGGCTAGGGCGAGGTGGATTCCAAGTGAATGGCATTTTTTAGGGGAGCGGAATATATTCTGCCTTCTAATTTTAACTCTGGTGAGTTGATGGCTAGACACTGATCAGAGGGTTTTACATGTTTTTGATTTTTTTTTTATTGCAATGCAGAAAATATCAGAATTCATTAAATTACAATTTCTGGTGTCTCAAACATATTGACTCTGTAGCCATGGGCTTTTTTTTTTTTTTTTTTCAACAGTTAAATTTTGTTCTCTGAAAGGCTGTCTTCATTGGAGGTGATACTCAACTGTTAAGCACTGTTGTGGGCCTAATTTATGACGAGATCACTGGTTCCTGAGTCAGGGCCAGGGAGTGTAGCTCAGCGGCCAAAAGCTTGCCTAGAAGGTCTGCGGCCCTAGGTTCAACCCCCCCGCCCACCAAAAAAAAAAAAAAAAAAGAAAAGAAAAAATAGTTCATGATTCGGAATTTTTTTCCTGCCTAAACGTTTTTTATTTTCAACTTACAAGCGACACATGATATCCAAGGTGTACTATGCCTGAGATGAAACTGGCTTAAGTCTTACTGCAAACTCCTTAGGACATACAGAGGGGTGGTCAGATTAGTTCCTGGTGTGGTTTTCCTGATATCACTCAAAGGGGTGACACTCAGCTAATAGCGCCCAGAAAGAAAAAATCTCTAACCTGTTCGTGTTCACTGTTTTTTTTTCTTGTTTCTTAATGGATTGTAATTTCTTTTTTTTTTTAATTGTAAAATATACATCGTTTTGTGTCCAGTTAAGCGGCATTAAAGGCATTAGATACTTGTCCTGCAGCCTTCACCACCAAGCAGCTCTTGAGCGCATCCTCCAAAACTGGACACTCAGCACCCCATAAATGCTAACTCCCCATTTCTCCAGCCCCAGGCAATGACCATTGTACTCTGTCTCTGAATTTGTCGGGAACTCAGATGGGTGGAATCATACAATTACTGATTGTCCTTTTGTGGCTGTCTCATTTCCTCTAGCATAAGTAATGTCTTTGGAAGTTCATCCATGTGGCAGGCCCTCTGTGTCAAATTGCCCTTTTTCAGTATTTCATTTTGTTGGAATATTTTGAGTGTTTTGTTTTAAAGGTCTTTTGTGATGGGTAAGAATTTAGAAGTTGTTTCTGACAAAGTGAACTTGTAAATTGCTCAAGAAGGACAGCAGCCCATTACATGTGTGTAAACCTCAATAACAAGTTTTTGAGAGACTTGTTTTGTTTTCTGATAGGGTTTTGCTCTGTAGTTGAGGCTGACCTCAACTCAGGGCAAACCTCCTGGGCCTTAGCCTTCTGGGTGCAGGGATTACAGGTGTGTCCCACGACACCCAGCACAAAAGGTTATTGATCCTAATTATTCAGGCCTGAACTAAGAATTCCATTAAGTGGCTTCCATAAGATTGGATGGTTAACAATGAGATTAAGGGCCAGTCACACTAGGAATGGGTACATCTGAATCATCCAGGTGTCAGGTTTCCACCTTCATGATTTTTTTTTTTTTTTAAAGTAGGACAGAGTCCCTTAGGTGACTATTCATAAACCAGTAAAAATGAAATTCTCATTTGCTGTGTTTTTGGTTAGTACTGTTTCTTAGAACAGCATTTATTAAAAAGACACATGCGCGGTGCCCTGCATAGGGTGGCACAGATCCTGGCCAGCAGGCTGCAGCGGAGCTTCAGCAGAGGCTCAGCCTCAGTACCTCGTGACAGAAGGACAGCAGCAGGTGGGAGACCACATTTCAGTGGAATCCTGCTTAGAGGGACCTGGCACTTGGAGAGGGATAGCTGTGGCTCGTCGTCTGGTGTTTTCCTGGGCTGCTTTGGGGCTTTATTCAGTGGCATTCGTGGCTTCTCAGGGCAGACTGGCATCTCCAGAGTGTACCTAGACCTCTGTCAGGGGCAGCTCCAGGAGTGGGTGCTGTCTGTCCTCTGGGAACAGTGTGGCGTGGCAGTGGACTGGCCAAGGGTGTGTAGTCCTTGTGCTGCCCTTTCAGGCTGGGTGGTCTGTGGTGCTTTCCTTCTCCTTCCTCCCTTCCTTTCTCACAAGAAACCCCAAGCCAAGGTGTGAAGAGGTGGTGTCCAGCCAGCCAGGATCTTGCAGGGCCTTCACCTAGGCTCTGTTGGTGTCCCAAGTGCTACTACAAAACTTTCTCACATTAGAGGTTTGGCTTGTGCCAAAACTTTGAAGACAAGTTCTGAGATAACCTTATCTCTTTGAGAATACTTGCTTTTTACACCTAATACTGTTAACAGGGACAGAATTTGCTGAATATACTGATGTTTTAGACTCTTCTGCCCCCACCCTTCATTGAGGTGAGCACATGGGACTATTTCCACCCCTCCATCACATCAGGCAGATGGTGAATTAGGTAGCTACGATTTCGGCATGTGGCGGTGAGAAATGCTGGCTAGGGTTACTGGTCTGCCAGCCCCATGCTGCAAGGCGTGATGAATATTTATAGTTCATCCATTAGTTTAGCAGACATTACTGAGTGACTGATCTGTGTGAGGCTCCTGAGTAGCAGACGCAAGTAGGCCCTGTCATCATGGATTTACAGTCTGGCTTGGGGACAGAGAGTAATCACAGTGAATGCAGAACTGCAGCTCTGGCAGTTGTGCCTGAAGAGGGGTCCATGGTGTGTATGGGGGGGTTGAAACCAGGGGGTCAGGAGGGCCACCTGGGGAGGTGAGGGCTGCTGAGCGATGCGGAGGGTGCAGGGGCACAAGAATGGGCAGAGCGGGGGCTCCAAAGGCACAGCCTGGCAGTGGGGAGGGTGGGGTGGTCTCTGGAGCCACAGCAGGGCGTGTTTGGCTGAGGCTGCTGTCAGAGTCAGGCTGTGCCTCCTCAGCCTGCTCAGGCAGTTTTGTTCTTACCTCAGGCTTTTGACCTAGAAGATGATGTGGTTGGACTGGCCTTTTGGAAAGCTGACTGCAGCCTGTAGTAGTGAAACTGCCAGAAGAGGGGTGTTGGTAGACAGCAGGAAGTGTGAACTGCTTGGGCCAGGAGTGGTGGGAGTGCAGAAACGGGCACACTAGGGGGGCGCTCTTGGGGTAAGAAATTGCAGGCCTTGATGGGCTGATGCGCAGGCTGAGGAAAGCGTTGAAGGGATTTACAGAGCAGCATGGATAGTGGAGCTGCCTCGGAAATCTGGAATCCTGGAGACTGGTTTTGTGTGCATTGTTAATAAACTTGTGTCCATGACAGGTGAGAATTCTCTTCAGTTCAAGATTCAGTGCTCTGGTTCCATTGTTGGCATTGGATTATGCCTGAGGGTGGGGAAAAAGTAGATAGCAAGAAGGGTCTCAGCTCCCGAAGGACAGGGCCAGCCAAGGTGTCAACAGCCAACTGATGCGAGCCTCTCTACATCTATCATCCAGCAGTGGAACTTAATTTGGCAAGTTCTCTGCCACTGAGCTACATTCTGAGTCCTTTTTTAAAATTTTAATTAGAGACTGGGCGTGGTGGCGCTTGCCTGTAATCCCAGAGCTTGGGAAGCTGCAAACAGGAGGATTACTATGAGTCTGACCTATGTAGTGAGACACTGTAAAATAAAATTTTAATTAGAGATAGTATTGTTGAGTTGTCCAGGTTGACCTTGCACTTGGGAATCTTTCTGACTCAGCCTCTAGAGTATATGGCATTCTAGATGTACACCCCCATTCCTGTCTTCTTTCTGTTTTGTCTTTTTGAGACCGCTTCACTATACCGTTCAGGCTGGCCTTAAACTTTCTTTGTAGCCCGGACTGGCCTCAAATTCTTAGCAATCCTCCTGCCTCAGCCTTCCAAGTGCTGGTAACAGGCGTGCATCACCATGGCCCATCCTGCCTAGCTGTCTTCATGTACCTCTCCTCCCCCCCTCCCCCAGACTTTTTTTGGTCTTTTTTTTTTTTTTTTTTTTTACTGTTTTCTTTTTTGGTACCGGAACTTTGAACTCTGTGCCTCACACTTGCTAGGCAGGCACTGCTCCACTGAGCTACATCCCCAGCCCTGCCTTTTTAAAACATTTTTATTTTTTTAAAAATTTTTTTTCCTGCCTTTGTTTTTAAAGAAACGAAATATCTGGTTAAAAAAACAAACAAAAAACCCCTAAAAACTCAGATATTTCCCATAAGGCTGATCTTCATTCCCATAAGGCTGATCTTCATTCCTCTTTTCTATTAATCCTTCTGCACTGGCCTCATTTATTGTTTACTGCCCTAAATATTAGTGTTGTGATTTCTAATAAAAATTGAGTAAGTTTATTAATACTTACATTTTGGGAAGGGAAAACAGTATCACTTAGTGAATTATAATCCCCCCACACC